TTTTCCATTGATAATAATATACAATACAATATACTACAGCTTGGGCAGATATTGAGATCAGTAGTAAGTGAAAATCCCTACTAATATTATAAATGCGAAAGTAACTCTTCCTTCCTGTCTGTCTGTCTGTCTGTTACGCTTTCACACCTAAACCACTGAACTGATTTCAATGAAATTTGGTACAGAGATGGAGTTGACCTTGAGAAAGAACATAGGATAGTTTTTATCCCAGACTTCTGAAAGGTTCTCTTGGAAACGCGATATAACCGAACTTCACGCGGGCGAAGCTGCGGGCGGAAAGCTAGTATTTCATAAAAAGTCAACAAGGTCTAAATTTCTCACCACGTTTTATATTCCACTACCTAGGAGATAAGATAGAATGATGTAATTTCTATAGTGAATCAAACTTTTTAATAAGGTATACAGTTTAAATATTTTTATGTATTTTGTATCTTCTTAACTCATTAATTTTTGCAATGACTATTGTGAAATTCGTAAATATTTCCTACTTTCAACTTCTTTTCATATGAAATATTTTATTAAGATAATGTACATTATTTTTATATCATTTATTGTACAGTCAATACGTTTGACAAAAAATAATATTCATTTTATTTGATACAGAGAAAGAGGTTAATATTTGTATTGCTCATAAAGAAAATATTATTTTTTACGTAGAACGGGATGAAACCTGTGTTCTTGGAAAAAAGGACAAAATAAATACTCAAATAATTCAGCACTACTAATAGCTTAAGTAATAAATATAAAAATCTGTACAAATGAATACCCTCGATACTCACTACAGTCGATAGACTTGCTTTAAGCACCTTTTACACTTTAAGCAAAACGTACGTGGCAGTCTTTGAATATGTGGCAAATTTAATATAAAGACAGTTTTCTTAACTATTTAAAATGTCTTATTTCTTTATTGCTATGTATAAATCTGCACAAATCTCAATTCTTCCTTTGAAATACCAATCATCTTTTACCTCAAATCTGTAGGGATTAAAACTTCATTTACTATTACCAATTTAACCGGTTCACAACTGAATTCAAAAGTATTAAGACCAATGCGTAAAACATTTTATTAAAAAAGAATTTGAAAAATACTTAAACAACATTTAAAGATGGTTCTTTTACATCTTGACTTGTTATTACTTGAGTAGAGATACTTAATTATTTATTTTAATGTTAAAAGAAATCCAGTACTATCATTAATATATTCGCATGACCTTGAAATAACTCAAAATCGTATATTATGTAGTAGTATACTTATTTTATGTTAAAAGTAGGTTTTATTAATCTAGGACAATACAAACCTTCCAGTTATGGTTACCTTAAGTTGTTAATATAACTGCTTATCCTTTATGAGTAATAGGAAAAACCTACAATTATCTTTTGGTTTTTCCCTACCACTTCTTGGTTTCTACTTCTTGTTCTGAATTTTGTTTTAGAGATTATTTCTATTAGGTTCTATTCTTAATGATTTAATCTGTTATTTCTTTTATTGTTTTTATTATTCAAACTTCTAGGAAAAAGAGCGGTTATAAAGACGAATCCATAGTTTGCCAATCAATAATTGAAATCGGCTGTTTGTGTCATTATTATAAGTACATTAAAATTTGCTGGCTAATGTTTCGTTAGATAATAATTACTAATGGCATATTCAATGAAACGGATAAAGCATTTTAAAGTGATTTCACCACATTAAGGTTATAAATAGAAACAAAGTTATAATTGGGGAAAATGTATGTCTCTTACTGTAAAATCATCATATGAAAATAAATAGTAAAAAACTACATATAGTATCCATTAAAATTTTGATTATATAAACGAAATAATTTCCCCAAAAATTCTTGAATATAAAAAGCAGATTTGGAGTAATAAATTTCTTCTTTATCTTTTTTTTTGCTATTTGAATCGAGTACAAGTTCAACCGTCGTAGACAACTTTGTTTAGGAAACATTAAGTTATAACTTCTTGTTATCGTTAATCTATGGCCAATCATCAATTTATATTTTTAAATGTAAAATAAAATGAATCTAGCACTACTTGAAGACATGTCATCTGATGACCAAGTATAAAACTATTATTTTAAGCTATTCTTGTTTTTGTGTCGGATACCCAGGTTACTATCTAGACTTTAATTTTATCAGTTGTCCTGAGTTTTTATGTATATCAATCGTTGCATTTATAAGCGTTCGGTCAAATACATAGAAGTGATGGATACTGTTCCGGACAAAATGTGCTATTTGTAGCTAGCCTATCGATCGCACAGTGGCGACCAGGGTGCCTTTCTGTACCCTACAGCATGGCTCGTCTTTTTGAAACACTTCATTGCCCACCATCTGGAGTGGTTTTTTGGAGAGAAGATCAAAATTTCGCATTATCAATTTGTCTTTCTCAGATAGTAAAGGAAGATACAAGGGTGGCAAAAACTAGAACTTTATACCTATTTCTTAATTTTAACTCTAGACTTGATTATGAGATTAAAGAGTAATAAGTGCGGCACACAAATTGGATCAACCTCTACTTGTCGCGTCTCTCAGCAAGGGTGTCCACGTAGATACTGTCGGTAGATCATCTAATCATTGAGCTTCCACGGTACAGTTTTTCGTAAACTTATTACGTTTCACAATTGTAAGTAATGGAAATAACAAGCATGAGAAACACATTTCATTTATAGCTCTCAAAAATAAGAATCCTTTAATAAACATTATGAAGAAATTGAACGGCGTCATGATACTTAACGAACGAATGTAATATTTTATATCGTCTATTGTGTTACATTTTATATCGCCTATAATATTTCAATATAGTAACAACCAATTACAGTTGAGAAAAAAATTGTATTCTTAAAATTGACAGCTAAACGACGCCTGGCATTTTATATTTTAATCTTAAACGTCGAAAATATGTGAGAAATATAAATATCCGTATTTTAATGATAATTGTTTATAATCTATATAAAACGATTTATTCCATTCTGAAGAAAAAATGGCTTTCTATTATTTATGAACAAAAAATAAAATAATATTCTTTTTAATATAAAGACCGACTTATATGAACATTAGCTTAAAAGATTTTAACCGATACCAAATAAAACATTATAGACGCGTTTTAGCTAAAAAATAAAAATATTCTCATTTTGATATTTTCTTTTATACATTCCTTTATCTAATATGTAAAACCAAAACTCATAGAATCATTTTATGTCTGGTCCATCAACTTGTCAGGACCACTATTAGCAGAAGCGCATAAATGCATTAAGGTAAAATTGATATCACAACTCAAGCTTGCCATTTAGTACAGTGATAAAGTCAGACATCTAAGTCAATCTTAAGATAAGGCCATTTATGCTCCGTTCATTGCGCATATTTTGACGGCCACTAGGGAATCAAGAGCTTTTGGAGACTTCCCATTGACCTAGATTTAAGAAATTCGGCAAGAAGCAATATAACACTCTACAAACAGAATGAGAAGAACAGACTGACCGATTATAAACCTTTATTTTTTTTTACTAATGTTATGGGATTACCACATCAAAATAACACAAATTATAAGTCAATAGTCCAAAATATGAATATATTATTGTATTCTTCTTTAATTAATTAAAATATAGTCTCACTTTAAAATGTTACCACAGTACGAATTAACTCGTAAAATTTTAAGTGACGATTAATAATTTAAATATTGACTACGTTTGCTTTGAGTGGACATTGGAAGTTATAAATTATATATAATGAGCATAATAATATGCATTTAATTTTTATGACAGAGACGAAGAAGACAAGAAACAGTTTAAAGAGTCATCACTACATTTTTTGTGGTTTTAGCCTCTTTCTGTAATCAATATCAAGATTGAGTAAACATTTTAAAAATATAACGCCTATACCTATTTGCACTTCTGATAATAACGTAATTTAATATCTTAAAAGGGTTTAACAATAATTAAAGTTAGAAGCGCTATTCTTCTTCAGACCTGTTTAAATTATTCCATATGAAATTCCTTTAATATTCTTTTGTCTCATATAATACATAGTTAATAATTATACAGTTGTGATTTAACACTTATGTCACACAAATTATCGATCACCTTTGGAACAGTTCAGTTTCAAGCTGTCGTAAATAAGATTATTGAGAATATACATTAAATTACTCGGTAGAATTCCTGGTAAATTAGTTATACGAAGCGAAGTAATTGCATTCCGCTACGGTACATTTCAATAAATGTTTATAGAATATTAAAGTGTATATTAAACGGATTGAAATTATATTATTGAATCTACTAATTACCATTACCAGAAACAAAATTGAGTTCAAAGAATTCATTTGTATGTAGTCCCAGTTTTTCGTTTGTGATATATTATATGTACATATTCATATGTACAAGACATCACTGATTTGTTTATTACAGATTTATATAATGCAAATTCATTTTCATTCAAAATTTATTCAAAAGAAATACTATAGAATACTTCAAAGAATTTTTGTTTTTCTTTGATTAATACTCTAAAACACTAACTCTATTCTTAATTTGATCCTTCTATATATGCTCTATAAGTGTACATACGTCATACATGTTTGTTATGATTCTGAACATACTAGTACTAATTGAATGATATTTGAAATATACGTACTTACTTATGTTCTCTTGTTTACTGAAAATTAATTATTCAATTCATATAATTTCATTTTAATTATAAATCAATTCAAAATAATACTTTATTTCTTCGATTAAACAATTTAGGGTTGGGGCACTTTTTTGAGTGACTTGGCAGGAAAGGGAGAACCATCTCATCTTATGTGTTTCTGTATTTATATAAGTTTTCAGCTTCGTTGTTAATGTATGCATTACTATTGATATTATATCTGTTGGCAACTTCCACATTCCGATAATTTCTAATGTAGATAATATAGGGTGCGCCAGAGAAACTTACTTATTTAAAAAAATTACCGCGCGGTGAGTTGGGCGGGTAGAGGGGCAAGAGGGGGCGCATCTGGAGGGGGAAGTTCCCAAGTTTGTTTCTCCCTCCAGTCAGCTGCCATCATATTCTGGTTTAGAGAGCAGCGGTCCTTCGCAGTTGAGAGCTTCTTTTCTAACGGTCGCTCACTTGTTACTACGCAACGTGCCTTCCGCGCTCGCTTTGAAATTCCTCCTCACAGACTCGTTCCTGGCCGTAATTCGATTCTGTCGTGGTTTAACTCATTTCGGGAGTGTGGAAGTGTCGCTAAACCCAGAAATGGACTTCAACGGACCATCAGAACTCCGGAAAATATCGAAAGAGTGAGGCAGTCAGTTGTGTGTTCTCCCCGGCGTTCGGCTCGCAAACACGCAGCTGCTATGGGAATTTCTGATACCACTGTTCGACGAATTCTCCATGAAGACCTTCAATTTCATCCCTATAAATTGGCTGTTGTGCAAGAATTAACTGAACGCGATTTTGTTGCCCGTCAAAATGCATGTGAAATGCTGATTGACAACCTGCCTGAAGACGCGGTCGTTTTTTTCAGTGACCAGGCTCACTTCCACATTTCCCTGGTTTATGTCGATCGACCACGGACCATAGCTCACCTCAAGAACAACATTCGCGACGCCATTACCAACATACCGATTAATATGCTGCGAAGAGTGGATACGAATTTCAAAAATCGACTTCATCAGTGTATGCGCAATGGGGGTCACCATTTATCCGATGTCATTTTTAAGACTGCATGAAAAAAAAATTGGGATATTGTATTCTCAAATAAAAAAAAAATTAAAACAATAACTGAAGTACTTTTTTTTTTATTGACCTTTCAAATAAGTAAGTTTCTCTGGCGCACCCTGTATATACTTAGAACTATTAGAGGAATTTATATTTTTGAGAGATCTGAAAATCTCGGATTATTTAAATTGTTTCTGTAAAATAGCCGAAACGTCAGAAGTATGTAGTTTATAGTCAAAAATAAAAACGCGTAATAAATCTGAAAGTATTAGTTTCATTTATTTAAATTGCTTAAAAATATCACTTATATTTTTTTTCACTTTGAAGATATATTTTCTAAACTCCATATCACTTGTACATGTCAATTTATATATTTTTATTGGAATTATTCCTTGTGATTATTTGAATTAACCTGAAACAGGAATATTCCAATCAATAACATACCCAAATGGTTCAATAGTAACAGTTCCATATATCGTATACACGCAATGAACAGATTTGGCTCTTAGACAAGATCTTGTGACATTTGTAATGCTTGATATTGTTATGTAAATCGTTTTGGAAAAGCAATCGGTGTATCAGCTTCTAATTGATGATAGAACTAAAACTTTACTTGCATTGCCTAATATTGAGTTTCATGAATTTATATATTTCATTATATACTTCTTCATTTTCAGTATTATTTATAGTTTCTCTTTAATATTAGTTCCAGTTTTTTCAACGTTAATATTTCAAAAGGTATAAAAAAAATTATCATTTTGATTTAATAACCATTATTTAAATTAATGTATTGTTATTATAGGTGGTAGAGCCTAGCTGTGGTCAATTGATTGCAGCTCGAACATGGGCTGGCTCGACCGGGGAAGTACCACCCTCTCACAGAAGATTGGCGTGAAGTAGCCTTAGTTGCTGCGTTTCGTTCGATGAGTGAGAGAACCGGTTGCCCTTTCCCTTTTTCCCATCCTTTCCTACCCCTTCCCATTTTCCTCCCCTTCCCATTTTTCCTTCTCCTCTTCCAGAATCAAGGGTGGTGACACATCCGCAACATGTCTTATGTCGCGGATGTCCATGGGCGACGGTACTACCTCCATCAGGTAGGCCGTCTGCTCGGTTGCCCCCTTTAACATAAAAAAAAATAAATAAATAAAGTTAGTGTTAAATATGATTTAAATTTAAATAAAAGTGACTGGAATATAATTAAATAGTTATAATTGCACAATGAAATGAAGTATTTGGTATTTATAATATGGAAGTATGTTTTTTGTCAAAACAAAACATTGGCAATAAAAGAATTATAATTGAATTATGGTCAAATATTGTAGAAGTTTTAAGACAATATTCAGATATTACGATAAAAATCTTTGTGATACTAGAGAGTTATAAAATTATGTTCACTTAAACAGCTACACTGAACATATTAAAGTGTCTATTTATTAAAGACTTTTAAAAACCTAATATAAATCTATCTACATTAAGAGAAGGTCGAACCAAAATCAAATTATGCGATAGTCTCCAGCAGTTAGCAGAAAGTCTAACTAGTAAATGATAGAAAATAAAAACATTGCACAATTTAACTTTTATAATTTTTCTTCGCTTATTGAAAATTTAAATTAAGGTATGTATTAATATTAAAAATCCAATAGAGGTTTCAAATGTAAAGAGTTCAATATAACATCAATAAATACAGCCAGAATTAGAAAATACTTACTAAAATATTAGAAAATGTTGATAGTCTTGGAACTGAGAAATAGAATATGTAATAAAAGTAAAGTTGTTCTAACAATAGAAAAGAACAGCTACATATAATTAATCTTTAGAAACCTTTAACATTTTGGCTTTCAAGTTTATTTTATATACATAGAAACATCGAATTGAATAATATATGAAAAATATATTGAATATTTTATATTAAACCCTCTTTTGGGAATCAACATTAATCAGTGATGTCCTAAATATTCTTAGAAAGTACATATGACTCGGAAAAATCACATTGGTACTTGCTCGGGCCAGAATCGAACCCGCGCCGTCGGTAACGAGAGGCGAGCCCTTTAACCACTAGGCCACCACCAACAATCATCCCTACTAATATTACAAATGCGAAAGTAACTCTGTCTGTCTGTTACGCTTTGACGCCTAAACCACTGAACTGATTTGAATGAAATTTGGCACAGAGATAGAGTTGACCTTGAGAAAGAACATAGGATAGTTTTTATCCCAGACTTTTGAAAGGTTCTTTTGGAAACGCGATATAACCGAAATCCACGCGGGCGAAGCTGCGATCGGAAAGCTATCTATAATGAATATGAACACTGTCAAGAAGCAAAACAAAAGATTGTAATATAATATTCGTCTGAAAGGCAAAAGTAGTAGTCACACAAATAATTTTCTTTTCTAATGATGTCATCTGTTTTAATTTTCCGTAAAAGATCTATGAAAATCAATGATGACCAATAGATTTTCAGATTTCATTCAATTAGATATTGTATGTATCACTGTATTCTACGGGTGTGATAAAAATCGTTATACATAACGGTGTAACACTTTAATAAAATAACATTTTTGTGACTTCTATAAATTAGAAAGTACCTAAAATTTATTTTTTATATCACTTAACAATTTTATGACCTTTTTTATTAGAGTCCATAATTATTAAATTTATGCAATATTCCATGATTAAAAGCTGTATAAAATTCACTGTATTTTTATAAAAAATGATAGTAATTTAATTTACATTATTATTATCTTTAAATAATACGTATTTGATTTGAAATTAAATTATAATGTTATTTACAGCAGATTCATGCACAGTTTACTATGTTATCAGTCTTCTTTGATTCAAAGAAGTCTTGTCAGCGATTCTGGTCTCTTTGTATCGTGATAAAGTAAAAGTTTAGTTGAAATCCAACTACAAGTCGCTACTGACTCTTGAAAATATTCTGCATCCGATACTTCTTTCACATTTATGTCAACTTCGAAGTTATTCTGAAAAGTAACAACTTGGATTTTAGATTCTGGGTAGATTTTGTAACATATTTCAGGGATCTCACATAGTTTCAATTTATTTTTATATTGTTATATGATTTTGCTCTAATTAAATTGCTTCAAAGTTAGTTACGAAATAGTACTTAATCGTATTAATTTCAGGATGTTTCTTAATAGTCGGTGAAAATTATGTTAAAAAAGTATAGAAAAAGATTTTCATACTTACGAACTGCTATGTGGTTTTCTTTTTGTTATTTTTTTTAAACTATCATTAATTTTCATTAACTAAAATTTCCTTTTTTTTATATTTTAAGTAACAATAACTTTCTAATTCTCTTTAAAAAATAAAAAAAAATATATAGCCAGCTAAGATAATTTTCCACAAAAATAATTTGGTTAAAAAGATGTGATAATTTTGACATCCAAATTGTATATAAGTATTTTATCTCAACGTTATTACCACCAACAGCATAAATTTGAAAAAATAGTTACATTCTATAACAGTCTTGATAAAATGACGAGATTGTCTATAGGTGTCAAACTGTATTTTGTGATTAAAAGTTTTATTCAGCACTGTATTAGAAATGGGACTGGTAATCTTGATGATTTTCCACTGAGAATTATATATTATAATTAATAAATAATTTATAAGTACGAGTATACCTTGTCCTCAAATTAAAATATCTCAATTAAGGAAAACGGAGGAAACTGAATTAATTCTCAGAGATATATAACTTTATTATCTCGTCTTCTACTTGCTGAAATATATATGAGACATTTATTAGAATTAATGTTATATTATTATTAAGGTTTTGGATTTTTCTTAAGGGATTTATTAAGAAAATTACAACTTTGATATTATATTCAAGTTACTACCACGTCATATCTCGCCTGGAATAGTTCGTTTATTATTTATATGAATAATAAATATATATTAAGTCAGTGGTGGCCTATTGGTTAAAAGGCCCGCCTCTCGTTGCCGAGGGCGCGGGTTCGATCCTGGCCCGGGCAAGTACCAATGTGATTTTTCCGAGTCATATGTACTTTCTAAGAGTATTTAGACATCACTGATTAATTCTGATCCCCAAAAGAGGGTCGATGTCAGGCAGGCGGCGGGTCGTAAAAACAAATAGCCAAAACTATTCATAACATGTAAGCCAGACCTTGGCTATAGCTGGAAAATTACCAGGTAGAAGAAGATTTCAATAAAACTTTATTGAGTTACTTTTCAATAGAATAAATATCTGCCAGTTAAAGTTCTCTGAAAACAAGTACCGTATAAGATGCATTTAGTTATTCTTCATTGTAATATTTACAATAGTACAGACGTAGGTATATTAAAATTAGGCATTAATAAGATCGTGTGTTATTGACCTCACTTGACCTTTTAGCTGGGTTGCCCTTTGTGGTCACAAGATGACTGATACGACTATACGAACCCGTGTTTAATTATTTTATTTGTAATCATGCAGTGCTTAAGTCTCTAAGTTAATACTATCAAAACACAAATTTTGCATAATATCAAAAATTTAATATACATAGTAACGCCAATAACAGCAATGAACTATTTCAAATGTGAAATGTAATGGTCTATCGTGATT